GCGACGTGACAACCAGATTATAACCCGTTAAGCTTTGTCGCAGTTCTATAAATCTTTCATTTCTTCAGATATTTCTTATCTTTTTTCTACTGTAAAATTAAATATCTATATCAAGACATGTTACTTTTCTTCTATAATGTCTTTTGTAACTGATTCGGATATTATTGAGATCTTTAAAAAAAGTCTATGCAGTTAATCGATCAGGTATGGAAACTATGCAATACCATAGGCGCAACAAAACGTCCATGCGATACGGGGGTATTGAAGTATCGATGGAGTTAATCATTCAAAATGTTAATCCTTCCATTCTTTTGAAGCTACAACCATTTGAAAACTTGTCCTTTGTAGGTGTAGGAAATTCCCGGCAGCATCTTGAACATTTTATTCCTTTTTAAGACATTTTCCAGTCTGCATACACAATTTTTACATAGTGCAGTGCTCCATGACGCTCAATGACGTTCCGATTTTTGGCTGTGTTTTTACGCATTGATCATTTATAAACGGCTATAAAACAGTCATATACCCTCCAATTTAGTTCAAAATTTCTCCCAGTGACGTTTCATGAATACTTTAGCGGCAGGTAAAATATCATAAATCTCTTTGCACTACAATTGTGAAATTTTTAATTTTGATAAAGAGTCTTTGTGATGTAAACGTGCCAAAATGAAGCATGCTCCGTGAAGCAAGTTTTATCAAAATAAAAAAGCTATATATTTTTCAATAATCACCGAAGAGCACCAAATTCTTGTATATTTATTGGAAAAAAGGTAAAGATTTTATCTGGAAAGTTTGACCGGTTTCGTTGAAATAGCGCGCTCACAATAGAACTTGTCCGCGAACTTTTCTAACACCCCTCGTACAGAAGTAAAAATGTGATGACATATTCCGAAATTTTTGTAAAATATCATTTGAAAGAGCTGTATGTCTTTTGAAATAGAGTGATTTGGATTGTGCTTTCTGTTGCTGAAAGTATAATCAATTATCTGTCATAGATCCCAAATTTTGTTTGCTGAAATACATATTTATCTTTGAGATATGAAATTTAAAATTACCTACATTTTCTAAACATTGTTTTTTCTTGCACCGAGTGTCCGATAACAACCGAGTAGCCGATAACGCGTTGAACAGTGTGATGTAATTTAATGGCAGTGTTTGAAATATCTGCATTTAACTCAGATTCCTGAAATTAGGTTAAATCCTTGCAATATGCATGAAGTGACAGATTTATCATTCAATAATTTTATCGGTACATTTAAATACATAAAAACATTCAATAGGTAGAATTTTTGAATTAAGGACAGATAATACCGTCAATGATTTTCTTTGGAGTAGACTAAATACCACGTCACAGTGTTAGAAAAGTGAATGATTCTTTGAATTTTCATTTCCTTTGACTTGGAGAATGAAACAACTAGAATTATCATTAAATTATGATTAAAATAACCTCCCCTTCGAAAAATGACCCCTAGTTCAACAGAGAGATACAAAGTGTCTATTGATGTTAATGTTTGGTGCTCAACGATTAATTCTCCTGCATTTCTCTGACGAACACAGGAAGAACATGTAATTACAAGATGTATTTGTAAAACACTGGTGTCCCTGACTGTATAGAAGCATGTGGGGAAGGCTAACTCTCAAATACAAGTCGAAATCATGGAAAAGGTTACAAGAGGCCCATGGGCCACATCACGCACCTGAGAAACTTTGGCGATGCTGTTCTTTAACAGATTTACCCCCTTTGAAGTGCAATGTGACCACGTCCTATCCTTAGGGGTCATGAAGGAAGCCCTTGGAAGAAGACTTGGCTTTTAATTTTAAAATTTAAATTTTCCTTTACCCAATAATGCTTTGTACCAAGTTTGGTTAAATTGGCCCTGTGGTTCTTGATAAGAAGTTGAAAATGTGAAAAGTTTACAGACGGACGTAGAGACAGACAGACGGACGACGGACAACGGGTTATCAGAAAAGCTCACTTAGCTAAAAAGGTCAAAGTTCGTATCAACAGAAAGGGCTGATTAAAATGGAGACAACTGTGAAATATGACAACTCTAGTACTAAATGTTCAAAGGTATGGCCAAGGCTAAAGGGGTTAAACTACAAGGTTTATATATAAAGAGGTCAAATTTGGTGGGTTTTTTTATTTTTATAAAAAGTGAATTCTATGTACTTTTGGATTTTTCATATGAAATACATGTACACTGTAAATATGTACTAGACGGTAAATTTATGAAAGCTAGAAAACAAATATGAATATCTTTTAACCCGGTATGTATATTGGGGGTGGGGGTGGGGATCGAATTGTTTGGTCTACATAACAAGCACTTGTGATAAGCATATGTGTGCACATAGTTTTGAAGGATGCCATGGGAACTAAGTGACAACTACGTTTTCATATTATTCACACTTTTAGAGTCCGGTATCTTTTTGTCGGTATATTGGAATCAATCTTTGTTTTGTTTTACAACAGGGTGGTGAATATATTTATCCTTACAAATGAAGCAAGTTATAATTGCAGTTATAGTTTTTATATGTATATTGAACCTTCGGTCAAAATAACTCTGTGCGTGGTCAAAAATATAAAGAGTCTCTTCTAAATTTATATTTTGACGATTAATGCATGGCTTACATTATTCTCTTTAGGGGACAGCCTGTCCACTTCTCAAAAGAAAATAGGCTTGCATAATTTACTAAGAAACATATTAGGTAATCATAGTTTACAGAGCTCACCTCAACGATTTTTTTCTTTAAGTAAGGCAAAGTCACACAATTAACCAACAAAAAGTGTACATTTCAAAAATGAAAATATCTAAGCAATTTTGATCTGATACTTTGAAATAGACTTAAATAAAAAATTAAAAAACTAGTTTTTCTTCACGAAAATGTAATTAAATTCAAGCATCTGAAGCAATTTTGAGAGTTTTCATCTTTTGATACAACATTTGTGCAAGTTTGGTTAATGCAATGTTATATAATCCTTAAAGTTTTTTGGTAATAGACCTGCACTCATAACATTACCTGATCTATTATCTGAAAATTGTATGTCGAATTCAGCATCCGAAGCAAGTCCATTGGTGTGCATCTTAAGATGTATCGTCTCGTCAATGCAAGTTTGCTTATTATAGGGCTCATAGTTAATTGGAAATGAAACCTGCATCAAAAACTTTAACCTGTTCACTCAACCGGAAAATGTAGGTCAGATTCAGCATCCGAAGCAATTTTGGTAGTATGCATCCTTACATGTATCATCCATGCAAGTTTGGTCAACACAGGGCTTATAGTTACTTGGAAATGAAACCTGCACCAAAAACTTTAACCTGTTCACTCAACCAGAAAATGTAGGTCATATTCAGCATTCGAAGCAAGCCTGGTGGTATGCATCCTTACATGTATCATCCATGCAAGTTTGGTCAACATAGAGCTTTTACTTACTTGGAAATAAAACCTACCCAAAAACTGCACATTAAATGTCCAAAAACATTAACCTGGTCATTTTTTTGCTGAAATTGCAGCATTTGAAAGTTTGATTGGGACCATAAAACACACTAGAGTCTAATAAATCAAGGACATAGAAATTCTTAAAAAGAAAACTGCCCCGAAAAACTTAACCTTAACCTGGGACGCCGACGCCGACCCCGACGGCAAGGGTATTACACAAGCTCCCACAACTTAGCTGAGGTGAGTTAAAAATGCACCACCCTACATTAATGCATTTTTTCAGCCTTTTTTATAATCCACATATATAAATAAATATACATGTACACGCAGTCGTATATAGGAACGGGGTTGAGGGATTGGGGATAACCACCCCTCTCCATAATGAAGTCGATAAATAAACAACGTACATGTACATGTAATATTAGAGAAAATTTAGTTACTGTATACTTGTGCCCCCTCAATAACATCTTCCTTTCGGGTTTTGGAATTGTTTGGTAGTGACTTTAAACTAAAAATGTTTGGTTGTGGCCCCACCCCCACCTAAAATTGCTTGCTTCAGGCCTGTTGTATTTATTTACATGTATACATGTACATGTAAAATAAAAGCAGCCCAAGATAATGTAGTTAAGATCGCCATTTAATACACCATCTAAGAAGAGAATGTCTACCACGAATGCACGTTTATTCCATTGAAGTGATATTTTAATAAATTCAAACAAGAATCTCTCTTTCTTTCTCTCTCTCTCTCTCTCTCTCTCAATACAAGACACTTTACAGAGCGCACTAGCTACCTATTTTACTTGATTGCACGGATTAAGTTTTTTTTTTCAAGTTGTAACAAGTAACCTTTCCATTTCCCTTTTGAACAAGGCGCACACTACGAGTAGTTTGAATACGTTTAATTACTGACAAACGTGTTTCCTTATTCGTGACGTCTGAAGTATTATGGTGTATATTCTTCTATTTGTTCGCTTTTTTAAAACATTGTAAGTGATTACAAAAAAATTGACTTGTGCAATTTTCAATTACAAAGTGGTTTTAAACACTATCTGTTCTATTTTACATGTATTTATTTCTTCCAATTTTAAATTTAATATGGGTGCAATCACTGATCCCGAGAAAACTATTGAGATACGAGAACTTTGTTTGAGTTATGTTCGTTCGAAAGATGTCGGTGTTTCTCTATTATACCGACACAAATTTAAATTGTAAAGACCTTTCATAAAATATTCATTTATAGATTAACTAATAATTATTCTCATAACTGAATAAAATCACAATTTATATTTATTGAAAAACCAGAGGATTACCGATAACCACGAATGAGCATGACTAGCTTTCGACGGAGGGATAAGCTTAAAAAAACTAACCTACGAAGATTAAATGTAGCTAATATAATATCTTATTTAGTTAATATTAAACAAAGTAACCAATGAAACACAGAACAGTTAATAAGTCTATAAATACATAATCTACAATTATTTCCAATGCACATTTAAATTTGCTACATGTATATGCCACTACCTTTAGAAAATAGTTAATAACTATGCTAAATAAATACTTACAACGTGTACTGGTCCTGTCACGAATCCCCACGTCAGACACAGTACAGTGTGTGATGATGTCTAGCTGTAGTTTGTCTAAGAAGAGGTCGTACATCTTCTTTGGTGTGTACGGTACATACATACATCTCTCTCCCTCACTCATTTTATAACCCCAGGACCGGCAGTATTCTGATATCACGTCACGTGACGCCGTGGCCAAGAAAAACTCTAGATCACTGTCCTCTACCAGACACTCCGTAACAAAGGCGTACATGACGTCATGTCGGATGTCGTCTGATATAAATGTTATCATACCGTCACATTTTTCTGTGATTTCATCAGGAAGATCTACCGAACCGTCATCATTAATATCAGGGAAATATCTGTCTCTGATTTTTTCTTTTGTACTGTTCTCTGATTGTTCATTGAGATTCACCTGATATCTCTCAGTAAACAGTAAGCAATACAATAGACATCGGACTTCTGGTGGATAGGTATGGTATTTACCTAATAAGAAAGGATTTATTAATGTACAGACAAAAATATATTTAAGACTAGTCATGACATTTCATCTCATAACATTTTACAATTCTCTCGCTACATTTAAAATTTTGTTTTATCCGTAAAATAGATATAAAATCTAAAGTGAATATAAAAAGAGATATTGATTGTTTCTTATCCTGCCTTGTATGCAATTTTAAAATCATTTTACTAGGGGTTTTGTTTTCTTTTCAACTTGTGATGATCGTGTTCGGTATTAATTTGATACATTTGAAGATTGATGGAAGCCGAGGTTAATCCAGATGTCTTAAGCATTTGTGTTTTTTTTTTTCCGCCATATTATATCATGAATGGATAGAAACTTATACTCGATATTCGGTAGTTTCTATTAACAAGAGGCCCATGGGCCACATTGCTCACCTGAGCACTGTTGCTAGGAAAAAGTCGAATTTAGTTAATTATTGAAAAGTTTAAATCCAAAAGTGTAGTCCCTTGACCAATCGTGGCTTTGCAATTCTTGAAAAGAAGTTTTTTTAAAGAATTTTCCTATATTTCTATGTAAAACTTTGGTTGGCCATTTTGGTCTCGAACTGCCCCCAGGGGGTCATGATTTGAACAATCTTGAATCTACACTACCTGAGGATGCCTCCATATAAATATGATGAATTCTGGCTTTGTCATTCTTGAGAAGAAGATTTTAAAAAAAATTTCCTATATATTTCTATGTTAAACTTTGGTCGGCTATTTTTGCCCCGCCCTACCCCCGGGGGTCATGATTGGAACAAACTTGAATCTACATTACCTGAAGATATTTCCCTATAAGTTTCATTTTTCCTGGCACAGTGATTCTTGAGAAGAATATTTTTAAAACATCCCACCAAATTTTCTAAATTCTTAATTATCTCCCTGGAATGAAAGCGTGGCCCTTCATTTGAACAAACCTGAATCCCCTTCACCCAAAGATGCTTTGTCACAGTGGCAAGTTTGGTTGAAATTGGTCCAGCGGTTTGGGAGAAGAAGTCGAAAATGAAAAAAATTTAGAGACAGACAGACGGACAGCTAGACAGACAGACGGACAGACAGACGGACGCCGAACAAAATGTGATCAGAAAAGCTCACTTGACCCTTCGGCTTAGGTGAGCTGAAAATATTACTACTTTTTTGTATAGTATTAGATATTAATAATATGCAAACATCACATGTATTACGAACTTTTGGTTTCGACTGCCTCCTAATAAGCTTGATTTTTCTTTTTTTTTTTTTTGGTGGGAGGGGGGGTTTAAAAGAAGCCATAACATTTTTTTTTCAGAATTATCTACTATTTAAGAATGCGTGACCCTTCGTTTGAGCTAATTTAAATTGAATCCTATTTAGCCATAGATACAGTGGGTTAAATTGATCCAGTAGTTCTGGGGAGATAGATACATTCGATAATTTTTTTTTTACGACAACGGCAATAATGACATACAGCGGAGAAGTTCTGGACCGGAGGTCATTAAACTATGACGAGCTCACTTTTGATTCCAGTTTCATTTTTCCTCTATTCTTTTCTTTAGAAACAAGCTAATTCAGAGAATTTGTGTCCCCCGCTTAGGGAAAAAGTAAACCATGCGGAGTTTAGGGGGAAAGGGGATCGGATCCTCCTGACTGAATTTGTAGAATTATTAAACGTATACTGAAGGAAATAAATTATGCCAATAGGGATATTAAGATTTGATTGCTTATTCTTTATTATGTGTATAGAAGATTCTTTAACAAGGAATATTTATCACACTGTAATGATGATTTTATGAGTTTGTACAAGCCAGTAGACCTCATATTTTTTTTTCATTTCACATGCTAATTACTATCATTTAGTTAAAAAAGTATTTTGAGGAAAAAAGAAGAAAGTGAATCAGGCGGGATACGAATCCGGGACCTCTCCCATGTGAAGCGAGAGACATACTAATAGACACAGAACCACTTGCATTCAATGAAACTTATATGCAAACATGAAGTCACATACATGTATATATCCACGTTCGATATTGTCAAAATTCTACACAATGCATGGTGTCTAATTTAGCCTTTATTAAACATTTTAATAGTATTAAGAATGTAAATTCCACCGAGAACCTTTTTATATGTAATAATTCTCCTCATGCCCCTGTGCTAAAAGTTAGCGACATGTAATACAATAAATACTGATAAAACAAACGGGGCAGGACACTTTGAATGGGGTGAGAGAGGTCCAAAGGAGTTTTGGTATAAAATTACATTGCAAAAGCTCAAATCTTCTTGAAATATCGTCCGAAACGATAGTGTTACATGCAGTCAGAATATGTAAATTTACGTCCTTGAACTTTGACCTTTTGACCTCAAAATCAATAAGGGTCAATCCTAGGCCACGGGGCGTTGTTATCTAAAATTTCATTGCAAAAGCTTTAAGGGTTCTCGAGATATTGCACGGAAACGAAAGTGTAATAACAGACAAAATATGCGAATTAATTATCTTGACCTTAGACCTTAACTTTTGACCTCAAAATCAATAGGGTTCCTCTTTAGTCCATACGAAGTTGCTATGCAAAATTTCATTGCGAATGCTCAAAGAGTTCTCGAGATATCGTGTGGAAAAGAAAGAGGGACGGACAGACACAAATTAATATCCCCCACTTTTCAAGCGGGGGACAAAAAGTGCGACTGAGATCAAAAGTGAGACCGTCGAGTTTTATGACCCCAGACCTGATCCTGAGAATTATTCAATTAAATCTTCTGTTCAGTTGAGCTAAAATGGACATTTTTGATAAAAAAATTTCGTGCTTTTTTATTTTTCATTATGAAGGCATCAAGTTCGGCTTATCCCCAGTTTCTTTCATGATACCTATATGTTTTAGCATAAATAATACCTCTACAAGCTGTGTAACAAATCTCGTTATTAAATTAGTTTTATTATTCTACTTCCGTGTGTCCAAACCATAAGAGTGATATCGATTATGGCTTGTGTTCAAGTAATAATTAATCATTTTGCCACTTTTTCGATGAAAGAGGGCGTATTAGGCGTAGATAATCCCCTGCTTTGATACAGAATATTTCTCATTTTCAAAATTCACAGAAGAATAATATTTTTCTAAAATCATGTTCTCAGTAATGCAACTTATTACATGCATTTAATATTCTTTATTACAAAGTTGACAGTTTAAGCATATGTAGTGGAAAATTGGTTTACTAGAGCTATAAAAAATGAATTTTGAACATGAATGGGTCAAGCCTCCATTTTTAGTTAACACTTAAATGAAGAAAACGTGAAAGCTATTTCATTCATCCAATAAATGGAATATGAAGCCATTCTATATGAAAATAAAGAAATTCTGAAAAAAATTACGCTTCAACAACCTCGTTCATTTAAATCACACTAATAGACGTCGATAATGCATGTTGCATTGGTAAAAGAGGTCGGCCTTGGACCAAACCCTGCGCTATGGAGAGCGTTTGAATCAAACGTGAAGCTTTTTTTCTCATATCATAAAAAAACATGAGTAAAAAATAAATTATTAATAAAATATTAAACCAATGAAATACAGTAAAAGATTATATAAACAATATACTTTTGAAAAAACTTTTAGAATTGAGAAATGTCTTTCCTCAGAGCGGGGGATTGTTCGCGCCTTGCACCCCTCTATTCTTGTTCTTAGAATATTGTCATCCTTATCTTAGTTAAAAGTTTCATTGAAAATAAAATTCTATAAAAACATGATGTTATTCCTCTCAAGACTGCCTTTCAATGATAACATTTTCCATGGCCCCCTATCTGTCTGTCTGTTTGCCCTCAATTAAAAACCTTGACCATATATAACTTTTGATTGAGTTAGGTTATTACTTCCACATATATTTCACAGTTGTATTACCTATGACATGACCTTATTTTGTATAACAACCATTTAGAATTTTTAACTTTGACCTTTGACTTTGCTGTACGGATACATTAGTGTTTCACAAACGCATTTTTAATGTTGATCTTAGAAGGTAGCTCATAACTTAATAGATAAATTATGATTGGCTTAAATTAATCGATTTATGTTGAATTAAAATGTTCGACTAATTTTCTATCGTCGGTGTGTTTTAGACTAAATTTTGTTGGAAGGGGGGGGGGCGGATTTTATACATGTATTGAGCCTGTCAAGTCAAATTCATGAACAGGGACACCACCAGCGTAAATTAAATTACTGGTAAAGAAATGTAACATCATAAATCGAGATAAAACTTAAAAATATCTATTTTCTTACTTGGTTTTCTATAAGCTATGTTGTCGATGATGTAAATATCATTGTGTGGATGTAGACCTATACAGGATCTCACGATGTCAGGTCTCCCGTATCTCCAGAGCCACGTCACGTGATTTAAACTGTCCTGAGATCTTCCTCTGTAATGCACAGCCTCCTCTTCTCTTCTTAGTTCCGTTAATAATTTTTTTTTATTATTTTCACTGTCCTTTAGGATATTTATTGAAACATTCACTGTAATAAAAAAAAACAAACATTAATTGTTTGAATTTAATCATTTGTACGGAAAAGTAAAACCTAGACTTAGTTAAAAAATGGTAAAACAATATAAAGATACATCTATTTAATCACAAATGAAATGAAATTTTTAAAAAAAACGTACATTTTTTAAATAGAAAATGATTATATCATGTGTATGTATGCTTTGTAGCATCAATGAAAACTTTACTGATCAAATAATTTTTTTATGATCGAGTCATGTTACGAAAATTTAATTAAAAGTAATGCTGACCTTCTCATATAAATATACTAATCTCCAAAAATCAACCTCCAGACGATTTTCCAAAATTAGAAAAATTATTAAATTTCTTACACTGACTTACCTATCTGGTGTATTTCATTATAAATATGCATGTCCTCCATGGTGACGTGAGTCAGTATATTCATCTGTAGACGGAATATCAGTAAGATACCAGGACCACAGACACACTTCTCTCCAGGTTTTCTGTTGTATTCTGATGATCTCAGGTACACACTGGCTGTGTTATAACTACTGTAACGGAATGGTATATTCAGGTCAGGCTTTATTGATGCTATCCTATACATTGTCTCATCCTTTGTGTCCTCCGTTATCTTGTCCTGATCTTCCCAAAGGTAATCACGTGACTTCAGTCTGTCCAGAGTCAGCTGTGCTTCCTCACGTGTTACAGGATTCTGTTTACGGTACACTCTCTGTCGTATCACATTAAGCAAGTCCAGCCACTCTGTGTCAGTGAAGTCAGGAGGACCGGAGTCAGAACAAAGAAAACAGAATAACACCATCACCTCGTCATCAGTCAGTGTGGAGAACTGATCTAAAAAAAAAAAAAAAAACATGTAATGAAATTTTATAAGCATTATCTATTCACAAGAGCTGTATAAAAATAAGCTTAAAATCCTCGAATTACTTTGTTGAAATTACTAGTTTGCGATCATTTTGTATCTTGTGTTTTCTTTTAATTCACATGGTGTTTGTTATTTTTAAAATATAAAAGTTTTGTTTTTAGTTACTTTTTCAACAGAATTCATATAGTAGATTTGTTTTTTCCTAGACAATAGCAGTATGAATAGTGAAGCCATTTTAATTTTAAAAAAAATGTTACCTAGGTCTTTCACTATCTAAAATCTAAATCGGTAAAAATATTCGTAAGCCATATTAGTGTTATATCATTTTAAAAAAAGGACTCTTACGTTGCACACAGAATTCGTGTCGATTTGGTTACTACAAAATACCATTTTTGAAACGCTTAGGTAATATTACATCCATAAATTAGGAATAATTGGTTTAAAATTGCACTGGTGAGTTAATTTATAAAAGTTCGATAATATCTACTGTGCTTTAATTCTCAGGTTTTGTTTTCATAATCTTTCGTTTTCACATACCCAGAAAACCTTAGCATACTATCCGGAGAGCGAACTCTATAAAAGTCGAATTAACGTTAATCTGTGAACTCCCCTGAGAGATGTTGGCGAGGCAATTAATGTCAGTATTTTTGAGGGAGCTCGAGGGATCTTTAGTTTTACTGGGTTTGAAACATAGGTACAAGACTAATTATGTAAAAGTCTTTGCACCCATTCTATTTTTTTCTTGGGGGGATTAATCTAGTACTGTACAAAAAGAATAAATGAAAGAAAAAGGACATTATGAAAATTAATAATTATAGTTAACTATTTCTTCAGAAGAAATTAGCTGTCTTTCAATTTTTTACGTATTTCCATATGATGATTTTTTTCCCTTTAATAGTATAAATTAACTTCGGGTACGATGAACGTGGTAGTTGTGGAAGTACTACGCGTCGAATTAAGGGGAAATGGGTATCAGATTCCCGGAAGTTAACATAATTTCCTGGTTAAATAAAAGGGGAGAGGAGTACTAAATGGGTAGAGATAATTGACCAATTTTTTCCGGGCATGGGAGGCCACTTCCTGTGATGCACTTGAAATGTTTATAAACACATTAAAAACCACGTGGATTTGAGGGTAGCCCTGTTTTGTGTGTGTGAGGGTATGTCAGCTTACAATTTTTAAAATTCTACATGGATTTTTATAGTGAAAACAATTACCGGTGTGATACCTAGACGCAACCTGTTTGGCTATGTTAATATTTTCATTTTTATGTAAAAATATCACTTATAGAATTCGAAATAAATGCTGGAATGTATCAAGTTTATTTTTCCTAAATAAGAAGGCTGAAAACCTAGGATCCACCCCCTGAAATCGAAATCTGGTGCCGTAAATTGTCTTGCCAGCGTTTGGGGAACATGAATGATTTGTATCAATTAAACTGTTATTGACTTCATCACTGCGCATAAATTGGACGAGATTTCTTGGCATTTTAACTTTCATTTTCACAATCTTGACATCATGTTTAGAATGAGTGGAGATTTGACTTTCTTCTCTACATATTAGGTATTGTAATATTCTATTAAGCAGTGTTGGTGTCTTTAAACGACCCCGGTCTGGTCCATCTTTAATTTTGTAATGCCTAGGTCACATTTCCCGGCCGGTAGCCGTAGACCGGTGGCAATCGGTAGTAATCCGTGTTGTTAACGATGCCACAACATCGGTCCACATCGGCCCAGTAGTCCTTAAAGTACCAGTCACATTATCCAGCGATGTGCATACGATTGTCAACCAATGCGTTTTATGAGAAAAATGGCGTGGTTGCCGGCCGGACTTACAAAGGCCCAGCGATGCATCGCTAATCATAAAACGATGTTCCAGGATATTCGGCCGATGTATATTACTTCGCTCATACGTTGATGAACATCGTTCGTACATCGGTCGACTACGGGCCAATGTTTGGTCGAACATCGACCGATGATCGGTCGTTATCTGTTGCCCACCACTCAACCCCCCGATGACCTCAGATTCAACGGATATTGGACGATGCTCGGCCATACATCGGCCGATCCTTTAAAGATGTGTTAATGATAGGTTGCCGACGAGGAGCGATGTGGGGCATCGTTGGAGACATCGGTGAATTTTAACTACAAATTATTTCCTACCGATGACCCCACCGATTCGCAAAAAAGACTCAGTCACCGTCCGATCACTAGTAGTGCCCGGCCGGCAACCACGCCATTTTCATCAAAAAACGCATCGGTTTCTCATCGTATACCCCATCGTTGGATAATGTGACTTATACTTAAGTCTCCTTTTAACGACCACTCTTCAATGTTTTATTCTTCCTTCAATTTTGCTTATTCATCTTTATTCATAATTCTCTTTCCTTTGATGACAGATTATATTGTTCTTTAACACGGCAATAATCAGCCAGTATTAAAAAAAAATACGACATTATTAATGCCTAGGTCACATTTCCCGGCCTGTAGCCGTAGACCGGTGGTAATCGGTAGTAATCCGTGGTGTTAACGATGCCACAACATCGGTCCACATCGGCCCAGTAGTCCTTAAAGTATCAGTCACATTATCCAACGATGTGCATACGATGGGCAACCAATGCGTTTTATGAGAAAAATGGCGTGGTTGCCGGCCGGACTTACAAAGGTTCGGCGATGCATTGCTAAGCATAAAACGATGTTCCAGGATAATCGGCCGATGTATATTACATCCCTCATTCATTTGGTGAACATCGTCCGTACATCGGTCGACTACGGGCCAATGTTGGGTCGAACATCGACCGATGATCGGTCGCTATCTGTTGAACACCACTCAAAGCCCCGATGACCTCAGATTCAACGGATATTGGACGATGCTCGGCCATACATCGCCCTATCCTTGGAAGATGTGTTAATGATGGGTTGCCGATGAGGAGCGATGTGAGGCATCGTTGGAGACATCGCTGAATTTTAACTGCGAATTATTTCCTACCGATGACTCCACCGATTCGCAAAAAAGACTCGGTCACCGTCCAATCACTAGTGGTGCCCGGCCGGCAACCACCCCATTTTCATTAAAAAACACATCGGTTTCTCATCGTATATCCCATCGTTGGATAATGTGACTTATACTTAATCCGTGGTGTTAACGATGATCTAACATCGGTCCAAATCGGTCTAGGAGTCCTTAAAGTACCAGTCACATTATCAAGCTATGCGCATACGATGGGCAACCAATGCATTTTCTGATATAAATGGCGTGGTTGCCGGCCGGACTTACAAAACGATGTTCCAGGATAATCTGTCGATGTATAGTACATCGCTCATACATGGGTGAAGATCGTTCGTACATCGGTCGACTACGGGCCAATGTTTGGTCGAACATCGGCCAATGATCAGCCGTTATCTGTTGAACACCAGTAAACTCCCCGATGACCTCAGATTCAACGGATATTGGACGATGCTCGGTCATACATCGGCCGATCCTTGAAAGATGTGTTAATGATGGGTTGCCGATGAGGAGCGATGTGAGGTATCGGTAGAGACATCGCTGAATTTTAACTACGAATTTTTTCCTACCGATGACCCCACCGATTTGCAAAAACGACTCAGTCACCGTCCGATCACTTATGGTGCCCGGCCGGCAACCACGCCATTTTCATCAAAAAACGCATCGGTTTCTCATCGTATACCCCATCGTTGGATAATGTGACTTATACCTAAAAGGGCGTCAAAAAAGTTTTTTTAAAAATTGGCGGAAAAATTCATGCACATGCACTAATCAAACAAATATTTTCTGTGTAAACCGTACCTAATTAAAAACCAAATATTAAGAAAACTCATATGAACTTTGAGAGATATTTTTCTACTACATATTTATGAACTTGAAATATCTTTGATCTCAAAATCAATCGAAATTTATCTGAAGGACCCTCTCTACACAAGTGAAATTTATCATATAATTAGATAGATTTTATTATATAAGCATGATAAGCCCGTCAAAAAAAATATAAATTACATGTATCTAAACAGTTTAGAGAGCAAGAAAAATCATGTCAAGGTTTCCATGATTTTCCGTTCCTTAAAATATGTGTTTATCAATCCCCTGTGGTGTAGGCATTAATCATAACAATATTAAAACATTGATAGCTTTCTATACTGGTTGTGTTAAACTTTGCAATATGACCATCATATTAAACAATATCACATTAGTCTTAATAAGTTAATCTATGTCAAATTAATTTTGAAATAAAAGGTTAGCAAGCAATGACATATGTTATAGACTGGCCAACAGTTCTTCTATCTAATTCCCAAAAGGTAGGGATAAGACTGCTTGATCACAGATGCTCTAAAGAAATGATTGAGACAGCTAGCCTTGCTACATTTATATCATTAATTGCTCTTTGACTGGAGATGAATTGGTCGGTACTTTCTACCGTAAATATTTTTAAAACATATAAAGTACTCAATGAGACTCAATAAGAGTACCTAATAAATTAATCATCGGCCATTTTTAATCATGGTAGCATTTTGAAGATGTTATTCAATCAAGATGTTCCAATGTTCCACCAAAGGCATTTACAAAAGGATCGTTCTCTAAAAGGCCGTTTTGCGGCCCACAATGACTTCAAGTTTTCAGATAGTATTTTTTCCCTTAAAATTGCATGAATCTCTAGGCTTATGTTCCAATTCACTGATAAATATCGGTTGGTTAATGATACAATAGTATTTTTAATGATATAGGGTCACAAAGTAAGTTACTATTGGTCCGTATTAGAATTATTGGAAATTCAAGAGGGTGGCTATGTTAGATAACTCCTAAGCATGTCATAACCACCTTTAACCAACACCAAAAGGGGAAGTTTCGATAAGGCTGTTTTGCAGCCCCTCGAGAAATGTTATGAAATTGTGATATGTTGTAGATAAATGTCTTATCTTCCTAAAAATATGAAAATAATTTATGCTGCTCATTTTCTG